GGCCGAGAGGAAGGAGAGACGCTCAGACGCCGAAGAGTTCGACGATGAGCAGCCGGGCGGGCAGCAGCAGCCGGGCGCGCAGGGCCAGAGCGCGGTGGGCGGCCGTGGCGAACCGCGGTAGTCTGAAGACGGGACGAAAGGTTCGTCCCTCCATCGATGGCCCTGGGGCCCACGGAAGCCTTTGGGCACCTCAGGGGGCTCAAAATTTGACGACTCACGTGCGCCCAGAGTTCTTATCAGAGTGAGGCGGCCGAGCGGCTTTACACCATTCATGGGCGCGTGGGTGAAGTATTCCGTGGCCTGGATTATGCTTGTTTGTTCTTTGTCGAAGTCTCAGATCTGAATTAACGCTGTTGATCCCCACCCCTCCAGTGCCCATTGTATGTTTAAATTGCAGGGTCCTTCCCGAGGCTCGCACCTTGTTTTGGACAAGGGGAACTCTTGCGCGTCAGATTGGACCCGTGGCCCCTGGCTTGCAACAGCGACGGCTCCGGCCTGATGTTTCCTCACAGGTCGTGGTGGAACCAGCTTTCGCTAGAGATCCCCTTGCCACGCATCCAAGTTTCGCGCTCTCGCTTCAGACTGCTCACCACTTATTCACGAACCGCGCTTTCGCTTGGGACTTGTTCATACTTTCGCCGGGATGCGCGCTCTCGCCTGAGACCTTGCCATCTCCCCTTGATCATCCCTCTCGTCCTCCACCTTCTTCCTTCATCCCCCGTGCCCCCTTCCCTCGTTCCTCCCTCTCGGCACTCCCTCCTTCTCATTTCTCCCCTTGTGCATTGTTTTGGGTCTACCTGTTCGAAGAGCTGCGCCAGTGACACGTGACAGGAAACGAAGATGTTTCCCCCAAAATAAATACGCACGAACAAAGACGAAGAGGGCGGGTACCGAGGGTTCGGGAGAATGACATCTTGAATGGCACGCGGGCAGATGAGAGCGAACAGCATTGGAATGAGTGTTGTTGATGTCTTTGTCCCCGCGCGACCCTCCCGCGACCCGCCCCTTGCGCTTATCCGCATGACATGTGCGGGGTGCTTCGTAGCAAGGTCTCTTGTCGCACGCATGTTCTGTATGCAAAAGAAAACCGCTGGATCCCATGCGGGAGTCGCCCGTTAATCATTTTGAAGCATTCAGAAAAGATTGGCATGGCACCTGCGCAATGGTGCCACTCACAAACCGAGAAGTGTATACAATGTTTGCGCAATTCCTCGTCCCCCGTCTTCCCCTTCCTCCTCTGCATGTATCAATCGCGCACGCTGTCTTACACTTCGTTTTCACGTGTTGTTTATAGTGCGCTGCCTAGCCCGATGGGTTGTGCCATCGCTTGTCGCCCCTTGTTCGCTACCATCGCGTCCCTGTACAGTCGGAACCGATGGTAAGGATGGGTGACCTTCCCAAGGGTACCCTTGCATCCGTGCTTCTTCGGTCCATCCTTGACTACTTTCGATGGCCCGCCGCGATCGCAAAAGCTTCAACACAGGCGTCCAAGGAGCTTGCCTCCTTATCGGGCATATTTTTTATTAGTGTACCCTGCGTTTCGCAATTTCGTTTATTTAATCGCTTCGCTCATTCCGCCAGCCCTGGAGCCCTCTTTAGGGCCTTGGGGGCCTCTTGGGAGCCTCTTGGGTTTCCTTGGCGGCGTCTTGTGGGCCCCTATAGCCTCTTGGGGGGCTCTTGGGGACCTCTTGGGTCAAGGGGGGGGGTAGTCGATTGCGCCCCTCCCCTCGCAGGCCACGATCCTCGTGAGGGGTGTCGAAAAATTGCCCGGTCTGGCATCTCTGATCCGAGTGTCCCGGGGGTCTCCCAGGGGTCTCCCGGGGTGCGTTTCGTCCGGGGACCCCCAGGGGCGGCCTCGCGCGCGCGAACTGGAATATTGTTGGCCCGCTGCCGGAGATCTCAGCACGCCCTGGGGCCCGCTGGGCCGGCGAACTTCAGTGCGCTGCCCTGCCCGACGGGTTGCGCCATCGGCTGCCGTCCCGTCGCGGGATGGCGTGCAAGGAAGCGGAGAAGCCGTGGCGTTGCACGTGGGCGCCCGACGTCGAGACCTCGGGACGTTGGATGCCTTGCTCGCTACCGTCGGGTCCCCTGCACAGTCAAGCCGGTCTTGCTGGGATGCGGGGGACCCATGGCAGCCGAAAGGGCATCCAGCATCGCGATGTCCCAACCCAGAGTCCCTCGGGTCATGAAAAAAGCAGGACGGGAGGAGTTTAATTGTTTTAGGCCTCTGGGAGCCCTCGCCGGACCTCGGGACCGTCAAAGAACGACTCGGGACAAAAAAACAGCCCTGGGGAATGGGCCCAGACCGTTGGGGGGTCCGCGCCATGACGACTCATGACGTCGGGAGTCTGAGTTCGCCCGCGTGCAAAACGACATAATTTCTCCGTGGCCTCCCCCGCCTGACGCAGGCCCTCCGATCTCTCGACCCCCCTCCTGCGGACAGGCTGCTCATCCCCGAGCGTTCTTTGACGGCCCCGGGGCCCACAGAAGCCGCCTCTGGACGCCGAAGATGACGAACAGATCCGAGCTTTGGGTTTTTGTCGTGCTTTCCCTGCAGTTCCAGGCTTTCGCTTCTACACGTCCGATGACGACGACGACGACGACGATGACGATGACAATGACGATGACGATGACGATGACGCTGCTTGTTGAAGGCTGAGCGCACCTTGCGCTCGTGGCTACAGTCGGGGCGCTGAAGAAGGAACTCTTTTCGTTGGATAGGGGCTCCGTGTTCCTTCATGGTTTCACAGTTTTTCCCCAAGCTTTCCGTAGGTGTTCGAAGGGGAAATCGAAGTTCAACCTCTGGAGAAAAGGGGCCTCGTTGCTTATTTAGGGTTCATTAGGTCAGCGCCCCGACTGTATGGTATCGGGCTCGCCCAGCGCTTGTGGCGTTGTGCGGCCCTGCCTCTGCGCGCTCCTCGGGGCCGTTCCTTGTCGAGACGCGGCTCGCCTGTGTGGCGGGCCCGTGCCGGGCGCTCGTCTTCTTAGGAGGTGCATCTTCTTGGTGCAAGAGAGTGTACGTAGGGATCCAGGAGAAGGGCCTCCTCCTCCTCCTTCTCCTGCTCCTCCCTCCCTCCTCCTCCTCCTCCTCCTCCTCCTCCTCCTCCTCCTCCTCCTCCTCCTCCTCCTCCTTACCCCTACCTCCTCCTCCTCCTCCTCCTCCTCCTCCTCCTCCTCCTCCTCCTCCTCCTCCTCCTCCTCATCGTCCTCCTCCTCCACCTCATTTGGGACTGGAGGGTGGACAGTCAACGCGCATCGGAAGTATGGGCAACCTTCCCAAGGGGTACTCTGGCCTCCTTGCCTCCTCGGCCCATCCTTTGCCACTCTCGTTGGCCGCGCCCCGCTCGCAAGATGTCGACTTGGCCTCCCAAGGCCCTTGCACCCTTCCCGTGCGTCCTTGTGGTACGGGTTCACTGCACTGCGGCATCGCTGACGCATTTTGGTTTTACTCTGGTCCCCTTGCTCTTCTCCCTCCTCTTCCTCCACCTCCTCTTCCATCAGTGAAGGCCACGCCCTGCAAAGCAGCGTACAACATTGCAGGACGAGCTGAAACCGACTTCCCACTCCCTGCTCTTTCCTCCTTCTGCCTTTCATCCTCGTCTCCCCTCCTTCCACCTCCGTACTTCTTCTTCCACCTCCTACTCCTACTCCGCCTCTTCCTCCCGCTCCTCCTCCTCCTCCTCCTCCTCCTCCTACTACTACTACTACTACTACTACTACTACTACTACTACTACTACTACTACTACTACTACTACTACTACTACTACTACTACTACTACTACTACTACTACTACTACTACTACTACTATTACTACTACTACTACTACTACTACTACTACTACTACTACTACTACTACTACTACTACTACTACTACTACTACTACTACTACTACTACTACTACTACTACTACTACTACTACTACTACTACTACTACTACTACTACTACTACTACTACTACTACTACTACTACTACTACTACTACTACTACTACTACTACTACATATGTTTCACATTCTAACTCCAAGCCCACTCCTAAAATCTTGGGGAACCCTCAGAGCTGTATAAAGCATTCAGAACCCTCATCCTCTTATGTTTCGTCCTCCTTCTCGCTCTTGTTCCCCCTCCTCCTCGTCGGCCTCTGCTTCATCCCCCTTCTCCTTCCAAATCTTTCTCTTCGACGACGACCGCGACGACGAAGACGGCGACGACGAAATCCTCGACGATGACGAAGACGACGACCTCGACGCCTACGACGAGAACAGTCACCCCCTGCCCAGGCAGCGCGTGGGACTGAGCCGGTCGGGAACCAACCTCGACAAATTGACGGCGCCAACGAACAGTGCATACCAATCGAAGAAGGGACGCCAGATCTTCGCGAACGCGGACCAGATGAAGGACCCTCAGATCGAGGCGTCACAGAAAATGAAACTGCCAGTTCCGCCACGTTTCCAGCCTGTGGAGCGTATTTTCTCGCCAGGGCCGCCAAAACATCAATTCAGAATGAAAAGTCAGCCCTGGGGAAGGTGTTGAAATCCCCCAGGGCCCCATGTACCGAAAAATTGCAGCCTATGAGGTCAGAGTGGGTGCGGAGGGGTAAAATGAGGGAGGGTCGAGAATCCATGTTTTTTGGGGATCTTGGCATTGTTGCATTTGGGGGACTTCTGGAGGCCTCTGGGGACCTCTGGAGGCTTCGAAGGACTTCTTGAGATCTTGGGGGTACCCCAGGAAGGTTGGAGGAGGAGGAGGAGGAGGAGGAGGAGGAGGAGGAGGAGGAGGAGAGGGGAATGGGAGGAGAAGGAGGAGGGTTACTCACGATTTGGGGTTTCTAGGAACTTCCCTGGGCGACTCGTCGCACCGGCTGGGATCTGCCTCGAAGTTCTGGTCGGAGCGCGCCCTGTAGGGCAGGTTTGGGGACCTCCTCCGACGGCGCGTTTTTGTCTGGTGCCGGTGTCTCCTCTCACCGAGAGCGTTCCACTACTCGCAACCTGCCGACTCGCAAACGTCCGACAAACAGTTGCTCGCCTCGATGTAATCTATCGCAAGCCCCCCGCGTCGGATCCAGGCCAGTTGCGAGTAGTTACCTTTGCGAGTAGTGGAACGCGCGTGTCTATCCTCAAGCTCGGGCTCCAGGGCTCCGGGCAGGCAGACAACCACACCCACTTAAGAGCCGGACCCAGGGGGAAGGGATCGAGGCCCGCAGAGGCCATGCACTGAACAGGCAAACCTCGGAGATCTCTGGGATTCGCGAGGCCGGCTCCCCGCGCTGGCTCCCCCGCGGATCCTTGCGCGAGCGGCCAGGAGCCGGTTAAGGCAAGAAAGGCTGAGCGTCAAATCGCCTGAGCACAAGTGTTAAATCGGACATGTTCCCCTACAGCAGGAATATTCCAACAAATTTGTTGGTTAACAAACAATGTATGGGGACGACTTGTTTGAATTATGTTTGAATACGTTTGAATACGTGTTGGCTTTTCATTTTTTCCCGGAAAGGGCATGGGCCCAGGGTTCTCATTTAGTAGGTTTAAAGGACCCCCCGGTTTTTGCCAGCGAATTTTTGTGCGATAAATAACGAGGTAAAGTGCTGATTTTTGTTTGAAAAAATGCGTTTCGTGTGTGCCCGCTCGAGGAAAGTGCGCCCCCCATCTCGGATCCTCGATAAAAAACGGGGTCCGCAGACCCCCGCTTTCCTTCGTGAAAAACAGGGTGCGGAGCGTTTTTCGCAGAATCGTCGACAAATAACGAGGTCTGGAGCCCCGACCGCGACGCAGAAAAGCGCCCCGCGCGCAGGAATTCCGAGGATGTATCGCGCGGGCCGCGTCCCGCGCGCAGGAATTTCGAGGATGTCTCGACAAATTTGTTTGTTTGGCGATGATTTCTTTGGATTTTGATAGGATGTCTCGAGCGAAACGCTTGTTTTCCAGAATTTGTTGAGGATGTCTCGAGCGAAACGCTGGTTTTGCAAAATTGGGGGGATGTCTCGAGCGGGAGCCTCGAGGGTGGCCAGAATTGAGAGGATGTCTCAAGCGAAATGCTTGTTTTCACGCCCCGCGCGCAGGAATTCCGAGGATGTCTCGCGCGTGCCGCGCCCCGCGCGCAGGAATTTCGAGGATGTCTCGACTAATTCGCTTGTTTAGCGAGGATTTCTTTGGATTTTGACAGGGTGTCTCGAGCGAAACGCTTGTTTTTTCAAGAATATGTTGAGGATGTCTCGAGCGAAACGCTGGTTTTGCAAAATTGAGGGGGATATCTCGAGCGGGAGCCTCGTGGGTGGCCAGAATTGAGAGGATGTCTCAAGCGAAATGCTTGTTTTCACGTCCCGCTCGCAGGAATTCCGAGGATGTCTCGCGCGTGCCGCGTCCCGCGCGCAGGAATGTTGAGGATGTCTATACTAATTCGTTTGTTTAGCGAGGATTTCTTTAGATTTTGACAGGATGTCTCGAGCGAAACGCTTGTTTTTCCATAATTACTTGAGGATGTCTCCACTAATTCGCTTGTTTTGCAATGAATTCTATGGATTTTGACAGGATGTCTCGAGCGAAACGCATGTTTTTTTATAGAATTTGTTGAGGATGTCTCGAGCGAAACGCTGGTTTTGCAAAATTGGGGGGATGTCTCGAGCGGGAGCCTCGCGGGTGGCCAGAATTGAGAGGATGTCTCAAGCGAAATGCTTGTTTTCACGTCCCGCTCGCAGGAATTCCGAGGATGTCTCGCGCGTGCCGCGTCCCGCGCGCATGAATTTTGAGGATGGCTTGGCTAATTTGTTTGTTTAGCGAGGATGTCTTTGGATTTTGATAGGATGCCTCGAGCGAAACGCTTGTTTGTTTCATACTCTGTTGAGGATGTCTCGGCTAATTCGCTTGTTTTGCCAGGCATTCTTTGGATGTTGACAGGATGTCTCAAGCGAAACGCTTGTTTTTCATACGAGCGAAACGCTGGTTTTGCAAAATTGGGGGGGTGTCTCGAGCGGGAGCCTCGTGGGGTGCCAGAATTCAGAGGATGTCTCAGGCGAAGTGCTTGTTTTCACGTCCCTCTCGCAGGAATTCTGAGGATGTCTCGCGCGTGCCGCGTCCCGCGCGCAGGAATGTTGAGGATGTCTCGACAATTTTTTTTGTTTGGCGAAGATTTCTTTGGATTTTGACAGGATGTATCGAGCGAAACGCTTGTTGTTTGTATAATTTGTTGAGGATGTCTCAAGCGAAACGCTGGCTTTGCAAAATTGAGGGGGATGTCTCGAGCGGGGGTCTCGTGGGGTGCCAGAATTCAGAGGATGTCTCAAGCGAAATGCTTGTTTTCACGTCGCGTAGCGCGTCCCCTGGCACATCCCGTGGCACATCCATTGGCACGTTCCGTAGCGCGTCCCCTTGGCACGTCCCGCGGTGCGACCCCATGGCACGTCCCCTGGCACGTCGCCTGGCGCATCCCTTGGGACGTTTCGCGGCGCGTCCTCCTGGCATGTCCCCTGTCAATTAGCTCTGGGGCAGCTACTATGTGTTCAGGCAGCTCGAGCTTAAGATCCAGATCAGTTCGGTCAGGACTCGGATGCAAAGGAGGACTCGATCCACGACGCTATAGAGCACAATCGCGGCATGGCACATCGCAATTCAGCACGGCGCAGCACAGCACAGCCCTCGGCACGGTACATCAAGATCGATACACTCAGCATTGCAATTTGGCACGTTCCTTGGCACGTTCCGTGGGGCGTCCCTTGGCGAGTCCCCCTGGCACGTCGCGTGGCGCGTCCCCTGGCACATCCCGTGGCACATCCATTGGCACGTTCCGTAGCGCGTCCCCTTGGCACGTCCCGCGGTGCGACCCCATGGCACGTCCCCTGGCACGTCGCCTGGCGCGTCCCTTGGGACGTTTCGCGGCGCGTCCTCCTGGCATGTCCCCCTGTCAATTAGCTCTGGGGCAGCTACTATGTGTTCAGGCAGCTCGAGCTTAAGATCCAGATCAGTTCGGTCAGGACTCGAATGCAAAGGAAGACTCGATCCACGACGCTATAGAGCACAACCGCGGCATGGCACATCGCAATTCAGCACGGTGCAGCACAGCACAGCCCTCGGCACGGTACATCAAGATCGATACAATCAGCATTGCACTTGCCCGTCACCCAATCAGGTGTCTTTAAAAACGCTGCCATGCGTTACATTTCTATATTCCTTTCCAGGTTCGTGGGTCGATCATGTCGTCCAAAATCCGCCTGCAGGAGGACATGCCTTACCTAACACAAGTGCCATGGCCCCAGGTATCGTCTCAACATCGCTACGCGGCTGCACGCCAGGGTACGTCGGGCATCAGGTCGTCTCGCCGCAGTTGCGCCGGACTGCCAGGAGCTGGCTCTCGCGAGAGTTTTCCGCCATGCCTTGTTCAGCGGGCCAGGCCCTTCCGTCTCGAATGGGGCGCTCGGGGCGCCATCTCGTCGCACCTCTCCCTCCCCCTCCCCTCCCCCCCTTCCCTCTCCCCCCCCTCGTTCTCTGCCCCCACTGCTCCTCTCCTCGCCGCGCCTCCCACGCCCTTTGCCCCCCCCACCCGCCCCTCCTCTCTCCTCCGCCGTGAGCGGCGCGGGCCATTCCGGGCCCTGGCTTCCAGGCCGATCTTGGCACTCAGATCGGGGGGGGGGGGGCCGCCTCGTGGCCGATGCCCGCGTGGCCAGACGAGCCCCTCTCGGTCAGCCCGCATAGTAAGGACGAGCGATCTTCCACAGTTAGCTCTTGAGGAGGAGGAGGAGGAGGAGGAGGAGGAGGAAGAGCAGGAGGAGGAGGAGGAGGAAGAGCAGGAGGAGGAGGAAGAGGAGGAGGAGGAGGAGGAGGAGGAGGAGGAGGAGGAGGGAGCGACTTTCCAAGGTTGACCCTGGCATCCTTCCCCTTCGGCCCCTCCTTGGCCGCTTTCGCAGACCCCGCCCGCCACATGTCGGCATGGCCTTCCAGGGCCCTTGCATCCTTGCCGCGCATCCTCCTTGTACGGGCTGATTCGCAGTTCCTGATTCAGCCCTCCGCAGTGGTAGCACGATGCCTGCACAGAAAACTTATGGAGGGATCGATCAACCTCTGACCTCTCGCCCTCGGTGGGAGGCCGACGAACGCAACGCCAGGGCCAGGGACGGGGGTCAATGCAGACGGGGGTCAGCCAGCGCGCCAGACTTTGGCAGGATCCTGCAGAGCGGTGCATTGACCCGGGCATGCGTGAAGGATCCTGCAGGACCTCCTGCATGGCCTGACTGTCTGACCCGGGTCTGGGTCGACCCGGGTCAGTAGATCCCCAAGGAAGGCTGGCGGAGCCAAAAGATGCCCCCCCCCGCCCCCAAAGAGGTGTCGAACAAGGGCCCCGCCTTGTGGAGGCATCGATCAACCCTGACCCCTCGCCCCCGGCGGGAGGCCGACGAAAGCAGCGCCAGGGAGGCTCCGCTAGCGGAAGGCTGGCGGGAGCCAGAAGAGTCCCCCCACCGAAAGAGGTGTCGGTTCTTGCTGGGGTCGAGGCTTCTGGAGCGGGCCGCGCAGCAGGGCGTCCCCGACACTTGCACGTGCCCCGCCTCGGGTCGCGGTCTGCTCCCCTCATCATTCCTCCTCCTCTTCCTCCTCCTCCTCCTCCTCCTCCTCCTCCTCCTCCTCCTCCTCCTTTCCTTCTTCCTCCTGGTTCCTCTCCTCCTCCTCCTCCTCCTCCTCCTCCTCCTCCTCCTCCCTCCCATCATCATTCTTCCTCCTCCTCCTCCTCTCCTCCTCCTCCTCCTCCTCCTCCTCCTCCTCCTCCTCCTCCTCCTCCTCCTCCTCCCTCCTCATCATCGTCATTATTCCTCCTCCTCCTCCTTCTCCTCCTCCTCCTGGTTCCTGGTTCCTGGTGCACCCGCCGCCGCGGGGCACCCGGAACCAGGTGCACCCGCCGCCGCGGGTCGCGCTGCACCATCCCCGGGTGCACCCGCCGCCGCGGGGTGTGTGTGTGTGTGGGGAGGGCTGAGACGTCCTTCTTGCGCTCGCCTCCTGGTTCCTGGTTCCTGGTGGCTGCATGGTCGCGCTGACGAAGCCTCCCTCCTCCTCCTGCCTGTCCTCCCCCACTCCCCTCGGGGGGCGGAGCGAAAATGCGAAGTGATTCGCGCTTCGCGCCTGCGAACATACGGCCGGGAGAGCTTTGGCGCGACACGCTATCCACTTCGCGGTCTGGAGGCGTCCACCTGCTGAGATTTTTCCGAGCTTCCCGTCCCGCGGAGCCCAGCGACACGCTGTCCACTGGCAGGGCACGGCGTGTCGCCGGGGCCGCCAGGGCGACACGCGAGCCAAAAAGTTCCCATCTGTACCCCTCCTCGTCGATCTGGTCGTCCCCCTCTTCGTGGGAGGGAGCCATGCCGGAAGGAAGACTGCCGGGAAAGTCGGCGGCCTCTCTGGAAGGTGCGACGCGGGAGGTCGTCGGAAGTCCGCGGAGAGCAGACCTAGAGAAGCCAGCGGCATGCAGCTGGCGCGTGGGATGCCCTGGGCAAGCCGATTGCGTGCAGCTGGTCTTCGGGCGGGCAGCAACGATCGGCTACACGTGCGAGTGACCCCTCGCCAGCTTGAGCCACGGACCTTTCGGTCATTAGCCAGACGCTCCCCCCCTCCTTCTCCTCCCCCTCCTTCTTTACAGGTGAGTCCGAGGCTTTGCTTAGGACCCTTTCTCTGTCCCCTGGCGGGGTCGGGGCTGCTCTCCCCCTCTTCCCTTCCTCTCCTCCTCCTCCTCCTCTTCCTCCTCCTCCTCCTCTTCCTCCTCCTCCTCCTCATCCTCCTTTTCCTCCTCCCCTTCCCCCTCCTCCTCCTTCTTCCTCCTCCTCCTCCTCCTCCTCCTCCTCCTCCTCCTCCTCCTCCTCCACCTCCTCCCTCCTCCTCCTCCTCCTCCTCCTCCCCCCCCCCTCCTCTTCCTCCTTCTCGTCCTCCTCCTCCTCCTCCTCCTCCTCTTCCTTCTTCTCTCCTCCTCCTCCTCCTCCCCTCCTCCTCCTCTCCTCCTCCTCCTCTCCTCCTCCTCCTCCTCCTCCCCCTCCTCCTCTCCTCCTCTCGTCCTCCTCCTCCTCCCTCCCCCCTCCTCCTCCCCTCCTCCTCCTCCTCCTCTTCCTCCTCCTCCTCCTTCGCCTCCCCCCTTCCCCTCCTCCCCTCTCCACTCCCCTCCCCCTCCCCCTTGTCCCTCTCCTTCACCAGATTCTCGAGATATCTGTAAGGGCTTCGCCCCATGCCGTCGGCCCCCTGTCTCGAATAATGGGAGATGCAAAAGCTAAATCATGAGGTTTGGGCGCCGCCGTGAAGCAGTGTCGGGACCTGTTTGTTTTTCGACCCTGACCCCGCTGATCTGCGTGAGGGGTGCCACCGAATTTCAGGAATGTTGCAAATCCCATGTGTTTTTGGACCCTGACCCCGCCGATCTGCATGAGAGGTGATACCGAATTTCAGGAATGTGGCGAATCCCATATGTTTTTGGACCCTGACCCCGCCGATCTGCGTGAGAGGTGATACCGAATTTCAGAAATGTGGCACATCCCCCGTGTTTTTGGACCCTGACCCCGCCGATTTGCGTGCGGGGTGCCGCCGAATTTGAGAAATGCTGCGCATCCCATGTGTTTTTGGACCCTGACCCCGCCGATCTGCATGGGTACCACCGAATTTCAGACATGTGCCAAATACCATATGTTTTTTGACCCTGACCCCGCCGATCTGCGTGAGGGGTGCCACTGAAGTTCAGAATTGTAGCAAATCTTCTGTGTTTTTGGACCCTGGCCCTGCGGATCTGCGTGAGGTGTGTCAATTTTTACCCCCCCAGAAATCCTGAGAACCCTCCCAGGGCGTGGTAGTTCTGCTGGTTTGGTCTTCCCCCCCTTGCGCGTTCATCAACAAGGAACAGTAAGCAGCAAGAAGCAGAACTGTAACAGTGGAAACTGGAAGCTGCAACTGGTACTGGGAGCAGCACAGTCCCGGCCTACAGCCTGGTGGCCCCGCAAGGGGGCCGGCGGATTTTCCGATGCGCTTCGCGTGCATTCGATATGATGCCTCTTCCGTTTTCCGTTGCTTCCGAGGTCATTCACTGACTTGGTCCAGGGTTCAGGCTTCGGCTGTATTGTCTGTTTGTCTGATGTTCCTCCCTCTCCTTTTCTCTCCTCTCCCTCGGCCTAGGTTATCTACGTTAGTCCCGGCGGCATCCCTTTCCCGCATACAGCATGTTGCTCGACCCGGGGAGTTCTGCCGTGCAGGGTCGATGCACGCGTTGCGGCGTACGCCTGCGTGTCGACCACTGAGCATCTCTGAATTCGCTTCGGTTCTTCACGCTGCCGTTGAATCGTCTCGCATGGTGGTGGCTGCCAGGGCGTGGGAGCTCTTGTGGCCGTGTTCCCCTCCCCCCCCAAAACAGAAAGCAGAGCGAGACCCCTCGCCACGGTGCCTGTCGGTGAGGGCCCGCATGGGGTCCTCCCTGCACTGGCCCGCGCGCTCGGGCGCGCCCTCCTCGAGGCCCCCCGAAGAGCCGCATGCCCGAGGTCACGCTTGCCCAGGGGGTCCGTCCTGCGCGCCGCCTCTGCTGCGCTGCGTCCCGCTGCCTCCGCTCCGGCAGGCGGAGGGCCCGGGGCAGCGATAGGAGGTAAGGCACGATTTCTGAGGGGGAGGGTGGGGTTCACTTCGTTCGTGAACCCCACCCTCCCCCTCAGAAATCGTGGGGGGTAGGGTTAGGGTTCGCATGTGGCCCCCTATGGTGGGCTCGGGGGGGGCTGCGCCGACCCGGCCCCCGATCGAGCGGCCACTCCTCGCCGACTGCGGGGCCCGGCAGCCGCTCCGCCCAGGAGCGCGCGGCCGTCCTGCCGGGTGCCGAGCGGCGAGGTATAACGCCGTCTCCCGGAGTCCACGGTCTCCCCTTCACTCGGAAAAGGGGGGTGGGGACGGCTCCCCTCCCAGGCGCCCTGCCTCGGGGAGAAGCGAGCGTGGATCCGGGCGCGTGGACTTCAGCGGCGGGCCCCACTCCCATGCGGCATCGTCGACGCGCTCCGTCGCCAACCAGGGTGGCGCTGGCTTCAGGTGTCGAGGGGTACGGTCAACACGGGTAGTGAGGATGCGCGATTTTCCCATGTAACCCTTCCATCTCCCTCGGCCCATCCTTGCCCGCTTTCGCTTGCCGCGCCCCGCTCGAGCAGGGTCGACGTGACCCTGCTGGGCTCGTGCATCCTGATTATACGCGTTGGCTGAACCTTCCCCGATCCGTGGATCTGGCGCCCTATGTTTTTGGTGGCAAGGGTACCCGGAGGTGTCCCAAGATGGAATGTGCACGCGTGGTGGCATATGTGACGCGTCCTTTTTTGGGACATGGGCCACTCGCTTGCCTGTGCTGTAATGGCGGAGCCAGCCGCAATACAGTCAGACCGAGGTATTCGATGGATGTCGGTTTTGGGAGGGTGCCCTAACGATCGTCGTGTGATGAGTTTCGTGTTTGTCGGATGTCGTTGTGCTTTCTGGAGGAGGGCACGCTCGCGTGATCTAATGGTGTTCTGGCCGGCGGGGAGGGTCTCAGAACCTTGAAGGACTCTCTTCTTGGCCATGGGCCCTGACGTAGTGTGCGCCCTGGCGCCAAGGCCCCTGTGCCGCCGCCCTCCCGGGCAGGAGCAGGTCCAGAAGGCGATCCTGGAGCCCGAGTACAACGTGAGGGACATGTACAGCGACAGGGGTGTCTGGCAGGCTGCCCCCCCCCCCTTCCACTCCTCCCCCTCCTTCCTCTCCCCCACAGAACAATCCCTCTCCCCTCGCCTCCCCTGACCTCCTGCCTCATCCTTCCTCCCTCGCTGCCTGCCTGGGCGTCTGGCAGGCCCCTCCCGTGCTGGCAGGGCTTGTGTCCACATCCAGTGCGTCTTGCGCCCTTTGGGGAAGGGGCGCAAGAGGGCAGAGGCGCATTCGGACTCCAGGGGCCACGAGTCTCGATCCATCTCCACTGCGCCTCTGGCCTCTGGGGAGAGGAGCCCGAAGCTTCGACGGCCGAAGGCGGGGTCTTTTTGAGGGGGGAGGGGGTCGGATTACTGGAAGCCGGCGGAGGAGGAGGAGGAGGAGGAGGAGGAGGAGGAGGAGGAGGAGGAGGAGGAGGAGCGCGATGGCTCCCTGTCGTGGGCCTGTGCACACCTCCGCGGGCGTGCCTCCCACGCACGCCCCCCGGGCTCGAGCACTCCCACGGAGCCCCGGCGGGCCCCGCACACGGCGGCCCGAGGGTATCCGGGGGAGCTCGGCGGGGGCGAGGTGGCCCGCTCACGCCGGGTCAGGCGCAAGGGGGGGGCGGGCAAGCAAGCGACTAGACGTAAGAGTGACCTTTCGCCGGAGTGACCTTTGGTGCAGGCCCAATGGGGTCCCCCGATCGCCGCGCTCTGTGTGACAGTAGCGTCTTGCGCGCTTGCATTTGGCCTCCTCGCGCCCCCCAAGAAGCCGCGCACCAAAGGTCACTCTTGCCCAGGGTCACTCTTACGTGCAGCCGATCGGCGGGGGCGAGGTGGCCCGCTCATGCCGGCTCGGGCGCAAGGGGGGCGGGCAAGCAAGCGAGCCATGCACGTCCAAGGTGCGTTGGCAGGAAAGGCCGGCCGCGCGCAGAGGGGGGGCAGGGGGGGGGGGAAAGGCTTCTGAGGAGGAGGCGGCTTCTGAGAAGGCCCGGCCTTGCATCTACAGACAGGCCCGCGCCCTCCAAGAAGCAGGGGTGCTTCTCAGGAGCCTTCCCCCCCCCCCCCCTACCCCCCCCCCTCTGCCCGCCGCCAAAACGGGTGAGGCCAGCCGAGGCTGCCTCACGGGACAGCGCTCCACGCAGCACGCACGCTACGTCAGGACGGCACAGGCATCGAGTGCCTCCAGGGCTGTCGCCGCGACACGCTCAGCAAAAAATCCCGAACGCAGACCATCATCTTCCCCACTCCTCCCCACTCATCCCCACTCCCCCTCCTCCTCCTCCCCCTCCTCCCGCCCGCGGCCGGCGAGCTCGTGGCGCGGCACCAGATCTTCGACGTGCTGTCCCTGACCGTGATCTGCCTGAACGCGCTGCGGCCGCCTCGGCCCGGAGCGGGGGGCCCCAGGGGAGGGATCGACTGGACTTAAGTCGGGCGTGCCCCTCTACAGGGGGAATGTGCAAAGAATAGTCCAAAAATAATCCGGGGAAGCTTTTTGTCACTGCGTCTGACCAGGTGGGGGGGGGACTTTTTTGGTATATTCTTCACCTGTCGTCCAAAGTCCCCCTGCAGGAGGACAGCCCCGACTTCGGACTGGACGCAGGAGTGACCTCTCGCCCGCGTGGCCTTCGGCGCGGGCCCGCCGGGCCCCCCCGCTCGCCGCACGCGATTCGACGGCGGCGCCTTGTGCCCTCGGGCTTGTGCCCCCCGCCGCGCCCCGAAGGCCGCGCACCGAAGGCCGCTCTGGTGTGGCCCATCCTCCTCCTCCTCCTCCTCCTCCTCCTCCTCCTCCTCCTCTCCTCCTCCCTCCTCCTCCTCCTCCTCCTCCTCCTCCTCCTCCTCCTCCTCCTCCTCCTCCTCCTCCTCCTCCTCCTCCTCCTCCTCCTCCTCCTCCTCCTCCTTGGGGCCCCATCATACCATTTATACCACAGGCTCCTGGAGTGCCCCAGTAGTGCCGAGTTTCGGGAAGAATACCTAGCAGAAGGTGACCTTGAAGACCTGAGAGACCCCCAGGCCTTCGCTATGTGTGCTGGTTTTCCTAAGCATCCGCCCTGTATGGTCCCGAGGCCCATTGGTTTTGGCCTTGCTGAGGCCCAGTTTGGGTCCCGAAACGGCCTTTCGCCTTCGGAAGCCTTTGTAGGCGAAGTGTATGTTGACGGCAGTATGGCCAAGGACGGCCACCCGTGGTTCCACGCCCCAGGCTGGGGAAGTTGAGGCTTATCTTTGTGGGCCAGTAGGCAGTGCCCTCCCGCCCACGTCCCCTGCGGCGGAGTTTCCAGCGTACCTTGCCTCCAGCCAGTTCAGAGGAGTGACTAAGATTCATTATGGTTTCAAAGGTGTGGTGAGTTTCCACAACTCGGGCCAGCCCGCTAGTAGAAAGAATATGTACGATGGGCTGGGCTCTATGGCCCAGGCTAGGTGAAGCCAGTTGCGCAGGAGATTTTGAAGTGGCCATAGTTAAAGCCCATCAAGATTTAGATTCCCTGGATCGCTACTCTGTCGAGTGGCGGCATGCTTCGGGGAACGACGCAGCCGACATAATTGCCAAACTAGCAGCTTCGCGCCTTCCCCAGCCCTCGGAAGGAGAGAGAGAGAGAGAGAGAGAGAGAGAGATGCCCAGCAGCAGCCCGAAGAGAGAATCACACGTTTCCTTCGGTATGTGCCGAAGGCTCTTGCGCTGTGGCCCTCGGTTGCCACGAGGGTTGAGGGGGAAAGGCCTCGACGGCCCAGACAAGGCAACAAACCCGTCTGTAAGAGTTCGATCGATCGCGGAAGTGTGGCAAAACAGAGCTAACTCAGGGGGGTCCTCTTCGGGCCCTGGAGCCGTGGCGGCTCCTCCCCCTCCTCGGCCCCTTCGTGGGGCCCAATACTATTGGGCATGTGTGGACGTGGCAGAAAACACGTTGGCTCTGCTGTCTCTGCCACTCGCGCTGCATGTCTGGTAATGTCAAACTTTCCCGAGCCAAGGAGTCGTGCCCTGGCAGTGCTGCGCGGCTGGCCAAACTTACCGAGCAGCCGAATGGCCACAAGCTTGCTGTTTTCGACAGACTTGAAGATGAAAACTTTATTGTTGCGTGTCAGTTGTGCGGCAAGTATTCTGAACGCACCGTTAAGAGCCTCCAGAAGAGTTGCCCCCAGCAGCTCACCTCAACCTTTTTTTTTTTCAGAAGGCGCCTACGCGCGCCTAGCCGAGGGGAGACGCCCAAGGGCTTCCACGACTAGCCCCAGTGTCTTCAACCCTCCAATCCCGATTGAAGAAACTGCTGCCCAGGCAGCCCAGGCGCAAAGCCACACATAGTTCCGCTTCAACTTTGCAAGAGCCCAGACAGGCCCACACCAGGGATGAGGCTCGCCCACCGTCCTGGCGTTATCTACACCAGGGGTGGGCAGTGCCGAGCCGTCCTGGTGTCGCCTAGGACCTCTGTGTACTTGTGCGTGTGTGCGTGCGCGCTCCGCGCACGCGTGTCAGGCACCCCGACTCAGGGGGAAGGAGCGCTGCATTTCTCTCTTCTGCGGCACTGGCTGCAGCTACGTCTAGGCCCGCTGCAGGTTCGATCTGGGGTCTTGTTTCGTTCCGACTGGCGGTGCTGGCGTCGCGCAGCCAGTCTTGGTACCCGAGTTTTGGAGTTCCGTTAGCTTGGCGAGGCAGGCCCTTCTCATTGCAGTGTGCTGATTGGCGCTCCTCTCTCGCGGCCGTGGAGCTTATTGGCCCCTCCATGGTGGCTGTGGCACAAGGGCCCCCTGTGGGTTTCTGGGCACGGGGGTGGACTTGGGTTGCCACTCCACCCCGACAGCCGTTCAGCCCCACTTTCCACCCCCCTTTCTAGTGCGACGGAGAAATGAGAAGCAGTGGCTAGGTGTGCAAACGCCACATCAGGGCCCAACTGCGGACTTGTGCGCGCGTGCGTGCGTGCGAGGCCCAGCACGCGTGTTAGGCACCCCGCCCCAGGGGGAAGGAGCGCTGCACACTCTCTGCGGTGCTGGTCATGCAGCCAGCCCTGAACCCGAGCTTTGGGGTTCCATCAGTCAGGCGTCGCATATGTCCTTCCTTTTCCCTTGTGCGAGCTGGTTGGCGAGACCCTGCTGCACGGCCGTGGAGCGCCTGTTGGCGCCCTCCATGGTGACAGCTGCACAGGGAAAACCCCCGCTGGTTTCCTGGGCGCGGGGGTGGACCTGGATTGCCAGTCCGCCCCGACAGTGGCTCAGCCCCACCCCCCCCTCCCGCGATCGCGGGCGGAGGAAGTATGGTGTTGTTGAGGCTAGGTGTGCAACGCCACACTTGGCCCCGGCACCTCTTTCAGCGTCGGCAGCGCACTGCCGTCTCAGCGGCCACGCCCACGGCCGTTGTGGAGAACATTGGTGGCCCAGTGCCACGAGGTTTCGGGATAGGGTCGGGTCGGCCAACCCTTAGCCTCCCCATTAGCCAAGTGATGGTCCTCCTCCTCCTCCTCCAAGGCCTTGAAATGGACCTCCAGTTCAGCTTTTGTCTGGAAGACCGACATCGGGGACATCCTGGACCTCGGGACTTCTGCGCCGTCCACGGTTCGTGACTTAGGTCAGGCTTCTTCGCTCAGGAGGCCTTGGGAGTCCTGGGCAACTCGAGGGAACCCCGCTGACGACTTTGGCATGGCCCCCAAGGAGCCCCTCGGGTACTGGATCGAACCCATCGTTGACCTGTTGAGAAGGTACAAGGGGGACGAACTCGACGACTCATCCGAGGGTGAAGGTGCGGACTCCGACGACGACGAGCCACAGGACTCAAGGAGGACTCCTTGGGCCCCTTCGTTTAACGAGGCGGCGATGCTGCGCGCGTTTGTAGGTGGTGGCATGTGGTCCCCGTCTCGGCTTCACGCTTGTGGATATGTTGATCTCGCTGACTGTATGGCGTGCCCGTCCACGGCTTGCACTGCCCATCATATCTTGTGGGATTGTGCTGGCAGTAGCGGCGGAAGGATACGTCACCCCTCGGATTTAGATGACAGAGGGCTTCCACCCAAGGTTGTTGGGTCATGGTTTTGGGATCGTGGATTATGCCCTCGCAGCTGTTTGCCACCAGTGCCGCCAAAGGATAATTCAGGCAAGTGGATTGTCAAATACGGTACAGCAGATATGGTTAGCGGTGTCATATTTACAGATGGGGCCTGTAAGAAGTTCTGGTACTGGCCCGAAGCGTCTCGAGCTGGATGGGGGTTCGCTAAGCAGGATGATGGTAATATTGATATTCTAGTATATGGTGCTCTCCCTGGGCCTGTGCAGTCCTCCCCGCGGTCTGAGCTATATGTCTTCTTGCAAGTTTTGCAGATAGCGGTTTTGCCTGTACTAGTCTATTCAAATTTTAAGGGCTTGATTGAAGGCCTCACGTGGGGGCTTGATTGGTGTAGACATCCGCCCCGGCCTAATGTTGATCTTTGGGCTCTAATTTGGACCGACATCGACGATTTAGGAGGCCTTTCGGATAGTTTGGAAGTTCGTCACGTGCGAGGGCACCAGCGAGGCATGGATGTCTTGGCGCGGGGGAACCGATGGGCCGACTTTGGGGCGACCAGGGGGCAGGATTTGCACTCGGTTCCCCGACGGCATGCCAAGGCCATGCGGATTGCTCTGAAGTCGGTTCGGTCAGTTTTGAAATGGCAGGTTGAAGCGTTGCTGGCCTTTGCTGCTCACGGACGTGTCACAACTGCGCCGCGACGGGGCAAGAAGCCCACTCAGGCCAGGCAGGCCAAGAGTGATATTGCCCCAACCCCTCCTCCCTCTCACTTGGCTCACGTCTTCTCGCAAGTGCCGCATCGCCTCATATGGATGTGCAATTTCTGCATGAAAGGTGCCAAGGTCAAGAGATCGAGGGATCGTTTATCTCGTGTAACTTGTTTTGCCCGTGTCCTGGCGTCGAGGTCTTTCGACATGAGCTCGAGGGAGCCCCCGCGAGTGCAGGGGTGTGTCGCTGGTGACCAGGCCAGGGCGGACCCCTCCCAGGATCTTTCGGGCTCTGCCAGTGTCTCTCAGGATGCCCCTACTAAGAGAATGGGGGACCTCCTGGATCGCCCAGGCTCGTCTGATGGTAGGGAGGTGAGGCCGCGTGTCGCCTTCGCCCCAATTCAGCGTGTTTTGGCTCCTGATGCTGATGAGCTGGCTTTGGCTCAGAGGCAGATCTTGGAGCCTAATTCAAAACGGCGGAAGATGGGTAGGCCCGCGTTGGCCGAGTCGACCGTCCCCGCGCGTCCGCTGCCCGCGTCAGGTATTGTTGGGCATTTGTGTGCGCGTGGCCACCGATGTTGGGTCAGCCCTGGTCAGGTTGTTCTTTGCAGCAAGTGTGGCTTTTACACTGCTGGCGTTGCTGGCCACCTGCTCCTGGACTGCACGGTCCCTCAGGTGTT